GATATATATATATATATATATATATATATATATATATATATATATATATATATATATATATCTATATATATATATATATATCTATATATATATATTTGAGTGTGTATGAGTGGGCGTAAATAATTATATATATATATATATATATTGGGTGTATGTGTAGGTCTGTATTTGCGTGATTTCGTGCGATTTTGTGTTTTTGATACACGATCCATTGCCAGATGCACCTTCAGTTCAGATCATTATATGGCAACGATAAATAGAACAACGAAACAAAAAACTATAGTGTCACCAGTACGTGAACGGCAGTGCGGACTTCATTGTGATAATAAGGAACTGGTATTACAGTATATTGATCTAATAGAAGTTGCGAGTTGTTCGATTGCATACACGAACGACTAACCTTATTGCGCCATCATTCATATTTGATAGCCGTTCATGAAGCAGCGCTATGTCTTTAATATGTACATACATTGTTTTGTACAATATAGTTATTAAAATGAAGCTTTACATATTATACTCCCTTCTCGTAATTTTACAGAGTGTATTTATTTACACTATCTCAGTACTACACCTATTATCTAAAAATAAATCATTTTTGCCTCGGTACTACCTACTCTTCAATCAAAACGCTTGTGTAATATAATATATATTTCATTCCGTCGTAAACCATATACTGTCGCAAATGCTCTTCAATTGCACTAAATTGATCCCAGCCATTTTGAAATTTTGTATTCTAACATTTTCTACCGTCGTAAACACGGGGGTTATTGATCTCCATACAGCTCCTCGCGTGCATATTTTGGTTTGAGAACTGTAACACATGGATTTCAATACTAAAACAGACCGGGACGGCACTTCCTAGTTCCTTTTCTCACCACATAGAGTTGCATTATGACTGGCCAGAGACCCAACTGTAAGTGAGAATTAGCAAGGATGAGTGAGAATAAGCACAGTATAGCGTAGTGTAGGGAGCGTACCGTATAGGGTAGGATCTATGCCAACACGAAGAATCAATCGGAACGACTATTAGCGTGGGAATAGGAGCTGATGAGGTCCATATACAACCATATATACAGTCATCAACCAAAAATATATATATATATATTGCCGATATATGAAGCAGCAATATAGGTCCACGCATACAAGCTTTGAGAATAGAGAGAAACAAAACAGGATCCAACGACCGCTGTCTGTCAAACCAGCATTTCCACAACAACCGCCATGAAATATATTTAATACAATATGACAGTATCCGATCGCCTACATACCTGACAGTGACCGTAGTATTCGTTTTTGAGAGAACAATCTGCAAGTATCTTCGCATATTAGAATATGCATATATTCACAGCAGTATTTCGGGCAAAGTAGAAAGGGGGAGGAACGAGTTGCGAAGCATCTTGTTAGAGGTTCACTGCCGTATATATGTATATATCACCATGTATGTGTGTGTGTAAATGACCTGTTCCTTGGAGACATTCTCTAGTTTATCCACTCATATATACAAAATGAACGTTTGTAATTTGTAGTTTCCAAGGTCTACAAGACCCCTCGTCGTCCTTTTGAAAAGGAGCGTCTCGATCAGGAGTTGAAGTTCGTCGGAGAGTTCGGACTTCGTAACAAGCGTGAAGTATGGCGCGTCAAGTACAGTCTTGCTAAGATCCGCAAGGTATGTAGCTTTTTAGACCGCGAATTGTTCAGCGTATCAATTTTTTGACAAATAATTAATATCTCAAATATGCCTATTTGGTGCAATCGTTGTCTCGATCTCCTTGTACCAATATCACAGCAACCTTTGGCAAACTGACTCGTCATCGCATGTAATATATATTTGTATGAGTTTTATATCGACCTTACTACCGTGGTCGAATGGACCAGGATCTCAAATGTTATGTATGTCTTTTTTTGTGCAATTGCCGTCTCGATCTCCATGTACCAATATCACAACAACAACCTATGGCAAACTGACTCGTCATTGTACGTAATACATATTTGTATGAATCGTATATCGATCTTACTACTGCTCGAATGGACCGGGTCAGATCGATCACTGTATTAATATCGCGCATACATCTTCGTCTGCAATCAGGCTGCCCGTGATCTTCTAACCCTAGAAGACAAGGACCCCCGACGCCTGTTCGAGGGTAACGCGCTTCTGCGTCGCCTGATTCGCATTGGTGTGCTTGATGATACCCAGATGAAGCTCGATTACGTTCTGAATTTGAAGACCGAGGATTTCCTTGAGCGTCGTCTTCAGACCCAGGTATGATTCAAAATGGTGTGCATGGCGTAGTAGACAGTAAGTTCAATCGCGTTTTGTTTTTATTGAATTTCCGTAAGCTACATAGCATATATGGTTAGAATAACATAATTAATCATAGGAAGGGAAAGTCGTATTATTTGATACAGTTTTAATTTTTATGTATGTGTATTATGTCTTCATTTCAAGCTAGAATGTGTCGTTTTTAAAACATTTCAACCACGAATATGGTGGTACCATATAATAGGGGGCTATTCTCGAGCTTATGTACTTTGATGGATGCCTTGACTAATTAGAAATATCTGTATAATCATCTTTCTTGTTACACAGGTCATGAAGCTTGGTCTAGCCCGTTCCATTCATCACGCCCGTGTCCTTATCCGTCAGCGTCACATCCGCGTCGGTAAGCAGCTGGTAAACATCCCCTCATTCGTTGTGCGTGTAGACTCACAGAAGCATATTGACTTCAGTTTGAACTCTCCTTTCGGTGGAGGCCGTGCTGGACGTGTCAAGCGTAAGAACGCCGGCAAGACGTCTGATGACGCTGAAGATGACGAGGAGTAAGTATGTACTTATAACTTATAAATATAGTATAAATTTACTGGCCAACTCAACTTCTTTGCGTTACGAATAAATACACTCGTGCGGTTAGGCAACAACTGTGTGGAACTGTACCTTCTCGCTCGTGTTTGTGCTTTTGATGCTCTGTTCGTATATCGATATATGTGCATTTGTCTTGCAGAGCATACTATTCTGAAGCATGGTTGAGATATTGTTGATTGTACCTGAAGTAGGCAATTGAAATATTATCTTCGTGATTTTCTAGAATTTAAACATTCTGGCCGAGTTTTTAATAGTATACTAGTTATGTTCCATTCTTCGACTCTATTTCGAGGGCGCAATGTGCTGATCAAGTGCCCCTTAGAACTTGTAATGTTGGTTTGTATTTGGTGCACACAAGTCAATTATATATAAAGCAACTGTATCTGAATTATAGTGTTACATAATCGAGTTAAAATCTGCCCTGTGTTACATATTGGTTTGTAATTCTGGTATACACTGCTGCTGGTTTGATATATTATACATGTTTAATAGTATACGGATATGTGTTGCCGACGCTCTTAAATTGTAAATGATGCGGCGATACGTGCATATCATGGTGGGGTGGGAACTATATAGAGGGCGCGCGTGTTGCCACCCCGACTATACTTCAAATGATGTGGTGGGGACCAAAGAGGCGTCCAATTAGGTGTAATATTGCTACGTTCTGTAAGGATGTGGTAAAAAATGATTGATTTTGTTCTGCTGCGCAAACGAAACCGCCAAATCGGGCTACATATGGAGGATGTCGATATCTATTGTGTGGGCTGTCACTCGTCCAACGTAGTAGATATCATAAACCACGTGCGATTTCGCTGACGGTTAGTACGTACTGCTCCTAGTCGAGTAAGCTACGGACGTTGTAATACCATCAGAGGTACATTAAGAACTGCTTACGATATGTATTGGTAAGGTTCGGCGAGATTGGATCGTCGTGCCGGCCATGACTCCAGTATGGATAGCTTCGGAAGCGGGAGATTAAGAGTTGTACTTAGCGAGAGGACCGCAGGATGCTTTCTATTTGCGTTCGTCTGACCATGCCTCTGTTGATATACTTTTGACCGGCGCCTTTGAACTCAGATCGCATTTGCTGGCTGGCATTGATTGGGGCTATACTACTATCGATACATATTTACTCGAGGGTTGATTTAGGTTTCGCTGTAGGCTAATATAAAGGTTTGTCTCGGTACCAATATAGTGGGTACACAATCGAAGGCGAGGGCATAGAATATGTAAGTCTGTTGGTATACTAGTATGCTGCTGAAAAAATGGAAACTTACATTGCTGTTAACCGTACATCTGTATAAAGGAAACCATGCGAACTTGCAAGTGCTGCGAAATAGTACATAAAAATGTACTCGAACGGGTCTAAAAATCATCAGGTAGCACGCGACTATGTCAGTATACGAGATATACTGAAATGAGGTAAGGGCAGTACAATCTATGAACTAAACCTTTGATCGTACTACAATGACTTCCGCCTTTCTTGTGTCGTAAATATATTTAAAAGGTCACCCTCGTCTATACTCCCGGCTCTATACATGCTATACTGTATGCGCTGTGCACCATATAGAAAAGTACATATGTACGATTAAGATAAGCACCGCTCAGAACTTGCAGGTCGTTGTCAGAAGTACTTGATAGTGTGGCCCTGATACAGACCTAAAGAGACAAATACAGTTTTTCACAGCAGAGTTTCAAATGAGAACTGTACAAGTTAATTTACCAATTTGATTGATTGCATGATGAATATAGCCAAGGACCTGGGATTTCAATATATTTTAACTTGAAAAATAAAATGCATGTTATAAATATATCATACTTCGCGCCTGCGTTGTGAGAAAAGAGTGAGAAAACATTCCCAAATCCCAATATCTACAACGATAAATAAATAACGGTGGTCAACTCCAGTCGCTCCAGTGACCCAGTCTGATCACAGATGGACCTCTGAAAAATATTCTTGTCATTCCATCTGCTATTAAAAACAAATAGTCCGAATAATAAATAAATACATTGCATTTTGTATTTACTGTACACAACGAGTCAGACGACGTACACTCCTACACGGTACAAGTCTAAGTACTGATAGCTATATTTTAAAATAAATTTTTTTCCAATTTGAGTGGAGCTGTTCGTATTTCAGTTTTAAATTTATTTATATTGTTATTTTATTTGTACATGGTCAGTCATACACACGGGTATAGCGGTCCTATAATTGCATCATTTAAAAATATTTTACTAAACTTGCAACCCCCAAGTTGTCAACCAGGTTCATAGCAACGTCCAATCAACAGCGTCCCCTCTCAACCGTTGTTGTGGGTGAAAGATTGGCTTTTGTACAGCTGGACGCCTGGTCCCTCTCTAGCACCCGGGACCCCCCCCACTTTTTTTTTGGAAACCTCATGAAATTTGCGAAGAATTGCCATATAACCTACACACCTTTACTCACGATGTACTTCTGCTTGGCGTTTGCGCCTCAGTTTATAGTGCGATAATCACCCTGGCGTTCACTGTGTGTTCTATTGAACGTACAAGTACATATCAGCAAAGGTGCGTTGGGACGCAGAAGAGGCACACTCTGAAAAGAAAAGAAAAAGCAACTGCTTTGGATCAGCCTATGCCGACTCAATTGTAAACCGAGAGCATGTACATGTACGAGTAGCTAGGTAGTTGTCTTCAAATATATTCCATATGAATATCTATGCCTACCCCTATACTCCACTATGCGAATTCAGCTTCAATTCTCATCCAATTTGTCAGCGTCTCACAACGATCTCAAAGGGGACAGTTCCGATTCGAATGGATACACGAGCAAATCACCATCACCGCCAGCGTTTAAGAACATCCTGTCGCCGAGGTCGAATAGCCATCATGAACCCAATCCATCGCACTCGCCCATATTCCACAGACACCATCCACGCGAGAACGACAATGCATCAGCACGATGTGATGCCACACAAAGAACGCACATGGCCACGGATACAACAACGGACAAAACTAAGGCCAAAACAAGTTTACAACAACCACAAGCCTTCAGTAAAACGAAACGCCGTAGAAGTAAAAGCAGTTGCATTCTTTTGAATAACTCGGGGCGGACGATTAGTACTAGTCAGTTGCCAACAGCATCGTCTGCACGGGCCCCACGGTTCAATCGGATGGCCCCTTCATTGCAATTTGAGCATAAGAACCGAACCTCTCTTGACGCACAGTCGGCCGTACCAGCGATCGAGAAAGATGCTGCCAACTCTCCTAAAGAGACGGTTGCGAATGCGACGAGAAGCGAAGGGAATAGTGGAAACGAACCCAATTACAAAGTGTTGCGGGCAATACAGAATGGGATCACATCCACGGTGTTTCAGGCGATTGAGATGAGCACAGGGCGAATGGTGGCCATCAAGCGATTGGCCAAATCGCCACACAACCTCAGGCTGGTGCAGACAGAAGCTAGGATTGCACATGCGTTGCAGGATCATAAGAACATAGTTAAACTCTACGAAGTCGTGGAGACACCCTCACACTACCTCTTAATACAGGAGTACCTGCCCAGCGGGGATCTGTTTGAGTACATCGTCGATGTGGATGGGAAAGATTTGTCAGAGAAGGCGTGCCTGCGTATATTCAAGCAAGTTGTCAGTGCACTCTCCTACATGCACACGAAGGGCTGGTGTCACAGGGATGTCAAGTTGGAGAACGTTGTCTTAGGGGATGACGGGATCGCCAAGTTATGTGACTTCGGCTTCAGCTGTGCAGTGCATGACACATCGGCAACCACCCCAGGGACTGTGGAGTACACATGTCCCGAACTTCTTTCTGGACTGTCTAATGTGGATCTCCGTAAGGCTGATGTGTGGAGTGCAGGCATCCTGCTGTTTGCCTTACTGACCTGTGAAATGGAGTACGAGTTCCCCTGGCCCAGGGCTGCCAACACCTGTGCCGAGTTTCTAAAGTACCGGACTGGCGATGTAGACTCATTGCCCTGGAACACATTCTCGCCGCTGGTGCGGGTGCTGCTGAGTTACTTGCTGGAGATAGACCCACATAAGAGGTATAGTATGGACGAATGTCTCGCATTCGTATGTGAGTACTGGCCTGATCTCGAGGAGGATGTAGACGCAATGGACGAAGGCCAAGAACACGAGCGGGATGGTCAAGTGCTTTCATTGCAGACACTAAAACACAATATGCTTAGCGACAAAACACGAGTATGATTGATTGATATCGGGTAAACTCCGTCGACCTAAAAGTCAGCGGGGGGCTCTGGAATATTGCTCTGCACATCAAGGAATATGCAGTAGAAGGCCAGAGCGGTCTTAAGTTTGCTTTATTTGGAGTTCATAGAAGTATGCGTCGTCATATATACGACAAAAAAATATACTTGTATAACTTTACCTTAACTGCTAAGTGCATTCCGACAGGAATATCCAATATCTGCTACACTATTAGTGCGTGCCGCTAGGCAATGTTGCTGAGGGATGCTGGGAAAACAACGTACAATATAAATAAACACAAAACAATGCTTTGCTACACATATCAGGATGGGCGTCGATTGTGTTTTAAAAATCCGTACGGCCACTGCTTTGTTACAGTCCCCGTTCGCACGCACGGGAACACGTGCACGCATTTCGCAACGAACTCTCAGCATTATAAAGAGCGAAATGAAAAGCAGTCTGCTAGAGGTTCAATCATCAACACTCAATAGCGTATACATTCTCAACATACTGATGTGCTGTGTACACAGAGACTGCCGTTTGGACGCAGACTTGATATAGGGCATTACGTCCTGGGCCAGAGACCCACACTCGGAACAAGTATAACCTTCAGGCAGAACTGCATATTTTTAACAACTTTGCCGCTCGTACTGGCACGTGGACTGCAGTGTACTGCTGAGGCGTACTTGTATTTACTTTCTTTTATTATTCCATCATTGTTTGAGTAGTGACGGCCAGCTCCCCTCCTGCCAGTGCATTAGATCAATGTGAGATTCGAGCGTCGATTAGTATCTTGTGACGTTAGCAATTATAATGATACATTGTCGTGCACAATATAAGTATACTTCATGGATATTTGGAAAATGGTGCGAAGACACTCAAAGGCGATGTCACAAGGCAGAGGATACAATATCTCCAGCTAGGCCTCCTTCAAAGCTCACATCGGATAGACAAACCACTAGCATGTCAGTAGTCAAGTGGAATACAAACAAGGCCGAACTGCGCAACAAGTTGCGGCAGGGTATTTGTGAACCCAAGTGCGAGTGGTGGTACTGCAAATACCAAACTGAGCAAAAGGTCACACCAGTGCTACATATACACACCATATTACAATTTTCAATAGTCAAAGATATATAATTACCTAAACGACTGCAGGAGTATAAGTATGCAGAGTCAAGTTTACCTTCTCTTTTGTGATAGTTAAAACAATCTGTCTGCCCTCCCCAGCGCCCTCGATTTCCCAGAAGCTTTCCTCTGGATCGGACGTACTGTGCAACGAGCCCTCGATAATTTCCTCTCCACCGACACACAGCCGCAGAGTTTTAGCCTTTATCGTGCACTGTACACCCTTTGACTTCACAGTGCTGGCTGTAGGTATGTACACTATCAGTGTAGCTGGGGTCTGTGTCCACGTGTATTTTTCGGTCGTGCCCCCAGACAGCTCTGTATGATCGTCCTTGGGAGTGTTCTTCTTCTTTGTATCGATCTCTTTTTTTTTCCTGTCTACATCGGCCAACATTTGCTTGTCGCCTTTGAGAGAATCATCCATCATCAGCTTTTTGTATAACTCCTTCACATGTGGATAAGTAAAATTATTTGACCGTGAGTTTGTGGCTGTATAACATTCGCTCGATCTCTGAAGAAACCTGCTGCACGATTAATTCTAAGCTTCCAACGCACCTTCGTTGAAAAGAACAGAAATTGTGTGAACTTTGATAAGCGAACAACTCAAGAGTTAATTCGCTGTGTTCTTAGCTCCCTATCTGATTCGGTATATAGCCAAATATGATCAAACTTGTTTCGAATCACTTCCCCAAAGTAAGAGATCGCCTAATGCAAAATTTCACACAACTGTACGCGCCGCGCTTGGCGTACATACACAGACGTGATTGAACGACGCCTAAAATTTAGGTATTGTCTCATTCTGAACCAGAGATTCATGATTGCAAATGATGTAGAAGGAATGTATGTACAGGTTTCTATCTTGGTTGACACACTTTATCATTCGTTTACGCAAGTATATGAATCTGACCGAGTGTTATCTGAAAACCAACATCACCATACTGCCACGTCGACTGAAACTCTGCTGCAGCTCGAGAATATCGCTGACTCACACTCATGACGATATGCACTTATGCGTCAATTACTTCTACACAAAAAGACGCAGTAAGGTAATTATATGCACAGCATTCCAAGCACTATACCCTAGTAGACGAATCGCCTACTCAAGACGATAAGAGCACAAAAGGAGACGCTCCGGTATTAGTATCAATCCCGGTCGCATAAAGATCGGGACCGAGAACGAGGGTGGTGGTGGGGAGATATGACTCAGATGTATCAAAAAGGTAGACGCCTTATTTGATTTTGATGCACTCGATCTCCACTCATTACTCAAGAACTTGTATCAAGGGCGCATTATTGCTATATTGCCTCGTGAAGTACCAATTCATTCATCGCTTGCCAAAAGGCAGGCATAGGCAGTAGAGCAGGTATAGTGAAATCCATCGACTTACTTGTCCCCTTTAACTCATGTTCAGCTACTGCTCGTTTTGGCTTTTTTGCCGACCGATGACAGGAACATGACAAAGTAACATAACTCGGTGCTTAATAAGGCTTCACGTGTTAACGTGTGCGATGAACAGCAGCTGGTGTGCTCTCGTATAGTACACCTTGAATAACCTACCATCCATAGCACCATAGTTAAGGACGAACATCTGCTTGCTACATAATTCGATGACTATGGAATAGAGGATTACCTTTCTATTTAGTCATCGATATCTCGGTCACCAACAAAGCAATAGCCACCTAATAAGCAAAATAATTTCCTGTCCCAACCCTATATGTAATGTTCTTCTAATAAAGTTCTTATGTATAATGCTTACAGATATATAGTGTTGTATTTCAAAGAGCCCCATGCTGTAGCTCGAGCTCATTCTGGCTCTGAATTTGTTTTCTACTTCAGCTATTCCTAAGTCGCCACAGACGCCAAACAGCACATCTCGGATATGAGTCGCTCGGATATGAGTCGAACACATACACCCAACACGTACAATATTATGACCATTGTGAATATCTGGACGAAATACCATACACATACCTTCATATACTCCATTTTCTCGGTTGGTCCTATGCTCTTATCATTCTCGACCCTTTCAAACTCATTGCTTATATCCGCCAATACTTTACTTGAGAAATCACCACTGTGTTCTACCAAAGGCTCGGTCATCGGTACACCCTCGCTCTGTAGCTTCTCCGCCAAGTCTGCATTTGATTTGTCCTGTGAAGTACTCTGCGAAACTTTTTCCTTGGCCATGATGTACAACAGTTCCTTACAAATAGTCTAAACTGGCTAATATATCTCGTAAAAGTGATCTACGTAACAGTAGCAACACCATGTTTGATATATTAGTACAGATGAATATGAATATCTAATGATTAGGATGATCGGATCCATTTGTTTATTTTAAGGTCTGTCACGTTTGATAATCCATTACGGTTGTAATATCATATGACGATATAAACCCTTTATTCTGAATCTGGATTCTGGGGAGACTTTCAAGTCTCTCATCCCGGTGCACATCAGCCCAAGGCCCCCCGCCCCAGTGTATAATATGATATCATATTTATCTATCCGCATTTCGTAAATGGCACTAATGAATGACTCATCCTAAATATATATTGATTGTATTTGTACCAGAACACAAATACAAATACACATAAATAAGCCGCTCTGCTATGACCCCACTCTCAGTCGTAGAAAAGATTTAGCACCCATACAATATATCACAAAAGCAGTACTCATACCATACAATATACAGAAGACACGATGGGCATGTTTGGTAATAACAGTAAGAAGCAACTGGAAGATGCTTACTTCCAGATGAAGCTAGCCAGCAAACAATTAGCGAGGCAGTCGGTAAAGGCAGAGAAAGAAGCCAAACAGGCGGAGAATAAGGTGAAACTCAACATGCAGAAGGGCAATCCTGAAAACGCACGGATTTTTGCTGAGAATGCGATTCGTAAAAAGCAGGAATCTGTTAACTTTTTGAGGATGTCATCACGCTTGGATGCGACTTCGTCGCGTATACAAACAGCTATCACCATGCAGACTGTCACAAAGTCCATGGGCATGGCCACAAAGGGCATGGACAAGGCATTACAATCTATGGATTTGGTTAAAATAACATCGATAATGGAGAAGTTTGAGTCGCAATTCGAAGACCTCGATGTGCAAACGGGTGTTATGGACAATGCCATGTCGGGTGCGGTGACATCATCTGTACCTGAAGACCAAGTTGAAGCGCTTATATCACAAGTAGCCGATGAGCATGGTTTACAAATGCAAGAAGAACTCAACGCTGTTCCTGCGGGGAAAACTGCGTTACCTACCATCAGCAACGAGGAGGAGGCTGGGCTATCAGACAGGCTCAAGGCACTAAGGGAGATGGAGTGAGGGCTGAGCTAGGATGTATAATATATATCTGTATGTTTTAAATATATTATATATATATATATATATATATAAATGTAGTTGTGTACTGAAGTGTATGTGTGTAATCGCGTACATGCACACAAACACGAGTAGTCTGGGACTAGAGATGAAACGAGGAATCCAGCATTGATATGAATGATTATGGGTGACCTGACTGTACGTCGCGGTGTGAGGGATGGCAAGCTCTATGGATCTGAAACTATGTATGCTGGAAGTAAAAAATGCAATCGCATTAAGTTTGGGTGAGATTCTGGGTTTCAGACTCGTGTGTTTGGAGGGCCGATGACTATACTACGTTATGGCATTACAGTAGCGTTACTGTCTATTCTCAATCTGCATTCTCATGGATAATGAATGGCCGACCAGATTCGTCGCGGCCGTGTGCTTTGAAAGCGCATTTGCATGTTTATAAGTTGAATTATACTATATAATATATATATATATATAGTGTGTGTGAGAGAGTGAGTGCGCACTGCATCACATAGACACATTCATATGCGCATCTTTTTATTGTTTGTGTGTGTTTATATATATATATATGTATGTATATATATATATGTGTGTGTGCGTGTGTATGTATTTGTTTGTGTGTATGTGTATGTATGTATCGTTTTTGGATATATATGTGTGTGTGTGTGTGCGTGTGTGTGTGTGTCTATGTAAGTATGTATATATATATATATATTTCATCATATATATACATATATATATATGTATGTATGTGTGTACGTATGTATGTATGTATGTTCATTTATATATATATATAGTTATACATATATATGTATATGTATATATATATATGTATATATATATATATGTACATGTATGTATGTGTGAGTATAGCTTTATATACATGAATGTGTATACGTATGTATATATGTATATATATATATGTGTGTGTGTATGCATATATATATATGAGTGTGTGTGTGTGTATGTGTACATATATATTCGTATGATAAATATATTTATATAAATATAGATAAATATCTATATCTATATATATATATGTGTGTGTGCGTGTGTAGGTTTGTATGTATGTATGTATGTATTGTTTATGTACGTATATTTATGTAAATTTGCATACATATAAATCAACATGTGGTTTAAATATATTTGTCTTTTAGACGGGAATCACGGGATAAAGGTTTTGTCAGTTTAAATCTTTGACTTCTGTTACGCAATGCGAACCTGTCTATGTCAAATATCAATTGTGCTTTTACAAACCTTTTTTTTTTTTAATTACATACCATTTCGCATTGGTTGCTAGCAGGCATATCCTTTTCCCTGTCCTCTGTAAGAAGTGATTCATTACTTGGCAGTTATCGCATGTTAATTGTGCACGTTTCAGCGTATCTCGAGGTTACGATTCCAGCATAGCCTACGGACAATGAATTTGACCACACATAAGATCAAAAGATCGAGTGTGGGCGAGTTTGTGAGACAAGAGCTATCAATTACTGTGTTTGTTTCCCATGCATGATTTAGGATGCTATAGACAGCACTTTATTACGATCGTTGATTCCAGCGTAACCTGCCAAGACTATACGCTGTAGAAACTCGCGAAATTTTACGTCGAAGCGAAACAGACTGCGTCACTGCGATGTGTAACGTATAGGTAAAATGAGCATACAAATTCCTTAACCAAAGTTTTGACCAGAGTTTTCGAGGCAGACCTATCAAGATACACTCGGTCCTCCCGTATAGCCCATGAATTGCGATATATGGTCACCCAATGGAAATTGTCCAATCTGGCAGTCACAAGGACATAGAACAACGCTAGCCACTAGTAGTCGCATACAGTCTTGATATATATGTCTGGTCAATCTTTTTTCTTATCGATCAAGCAAGGTGTTAAATAATATTCATCCAAGTCAGCAAGTATAATGGATTGTGAATTCCAGCTGCAAATTACTTTATTATTTCGATCTCAGTACCGTATGCTACAGGGCTATTCGATTTGAATACAGTTCCTTAAAGAGGTGTAAAACAATGCTTTCAACAGAAGCATAGTAAACATGTATGAAAATCGACAGCTGCTCGACCAACACAAAGAGCGATCGAACGATAAGGTCAATAATCCCTCAATCTACCGATTCAATAGCACATTAGATACCATGGTATGTTGGTATAAATGCGACTCTAGAAGAGAAACGGATACATGCACGCCCAACAAAGATAGCTCACCCAAAACAATAATAGTCGATACGGAATCAACTCTTACGACTCTGGCCAGCTTGTGCCATTCGAATCAGCAAAGCCTTGCCATTTTGCATTCCTCGAGAATCCTTTTGGCAAAGTAAACACCATCACCTTATGTATATTCTAAATTGTGCACTCGCTTTTATTTCTATTTTCGAACTTTGAAAGTCTTCTATATACACTAAATTTCGATCCAGGCTGACTTGTTACTCCTTCTTGGACTTCTTTGATTTCTGTTAAAATGCGAGACAAGTACAAGATGAGCAATACATTCTCACAACGGTGATTCAAGTAAGCAAAGAAATTGAAAGGCAGCTATACACAACCAGATGCGCGTTATACCGTTATACCAGAAAATACACTAGAGTACAGCCATTTAAACAGACTATTTTCTGCAGACAATATTAAATTCAATTATATCAAAAATGCATTTCTACATTGAATATGTATACGGATCAGCAATGCAACTGGGTACAAATGTCCCGATCACACAATTGGTACCTCCCCGCCCTCGCTATACCGTTTCAGTAGCACAATAGATGCCATAGAGATGTTGGCAAGATTGCGACTCTAAAAAGAAACGGATTGCTACACCGACCACGCGGAAGCAGCATAACTTTGGTGTACAGAACTATAAGTACCCTACTGGTGAAACACATAAAACCACACCATAACAGCCGGTTATCAATCGATACACCACCCTTGGGGACGACCATCCCATAGCACTACAACAACTACAATGTACGTATTCACCTACGTGACCCTTAATATACCAGCACCAGGTTAAACAGTGGACACATAGGCTTACCTTCTCTTTCTTAATCTTCTTCTCTTTCTTGACCTTCGTCTCCTCGACGGCGACTGGTTCGGATTCACTACTCTTCTTGGCCTTTTTGACCTTCTTCTCCTTTTTGACCTTCTTACTCGGTTTGCTTTCTTCTGAACTATCCTCCTCCGCTGCACGCTTCTTTGACTGTTTAACTGTCGAGTCACCCTCTGTTGAGAATCCCTTGACCTCCTTGGCCTCTATTCTCTCTGCCGCTGCCTCTCCCTTGGCAAGGCCTGATACACGCATTGGTCGGCCCTCCATCTGATTAAATCATTATATCAACATTGAAATTCGCGATTAAACTTGGTAAACTGAAAACCAACATATAAATCGAAGTGGGTTTGTACATGGATGCAGATGTCCTAGCTGATGGGTCATTGATGCTGTGTTAGCCCCAGCATACCCTACTGTTCAACTGCAAATTGTCCATTCTCTGTGAAACTATCAACACACCCAATACGTAAAACATTCAAAACTACATACCTGTCCTAACCGAGCCTCCACTTTAGACCTGGCCTCCAAACCAATGGTGACATTATCTTTATCTCCTAGTGCATCTACACGCGCCGACAATGAGGTCTTTGCAGCCAGAACTCGTGAGATTTTACCCTTGTTCTTGGGTGCGCATTGACCTACTAATGATGCGTGGTAGATAAGACCGTACTTGGGTGTATCACTCTTAGTTTTAAGGGCTCTGAATAGGGCCTTTTCAGCGCCCAGGATTTGTACTGTGGAGGCGGGGTACTTGGCCAGGTTGAGCAGTGAACCGGCATGCGAGATCAAACGGGCACCAACCAGCTCACCAACCATACACGTCAAATTGGGTGCAATGGCGTTCATTCGCGCCTTAAGGTAGTCGAATAGCTGTGTTCGGTATTCTCCGATGCTTATAACTTGGTCACATAGGTAAATAATGTTGTCCATATCCTCGGTAGACACCTCAGTACCCATACTAATCTCAGCAGCCTGCTTAACCTCCTCGATCATTTCTTCGGGCAAAAACTCCTCCAGATCAGTGGCGGATGTGTTCTTTCGGTCTCTAATCTTTCGGATGGTCTTGGCAAACGCGAGATTATCAGGAATAATTCGCGAGATTTCTGGGAAATGCCAACCATACCATTCACGTACTCGCATACTATACGTGTTCAGCTCCTTGTCTAGATCATCAAGCAAAGCTGTAAATTGTGAAGGTGGAAATTCGTTAGATCACTTTTACAATTGCATGACACGACCGAAGATGCACTAACTATGCTCAATTTTTTTTCAGGGTTGTCTACACTAAATATTTTCCCATATAACAGTATAGCCTTATTCATACTATTGGAACCACTATCGGATCGCCATGTGCTAATATCAAAACAGACACAGATAAAAATATGAACTGATATCCGCGTTTCAGAGACTGCTTTTCAAATGTATAGTACGCCTAACCACCCTAAAAAACACATTATATATACAGGTAATGTGTGCTGCATACTTCTGACAAATTTGAATATTTGAATATTGAACATGCGTTACATATATAACTTACAGATAGCCTGGACGATCATGGTGTCCACCTTATCGGGCGAAAACTTGAGTTTATAACGAGACAGAGAGTGAGCCAAACCAAGAGACATGGCCTTCATGGCCTCCTCAGAGGTACCAGTGACAAGAGTGTCCATTTGTGTTCTGATACCACGCATGAGCTCGTTAATTACGGTCTCGGTGGCTGTGCGGCAAGGGATTTCGAGTTTGTCCTTGATAATTCCAGCCAGTTTGGGGTCGAAAACACCGACCTCATCGGACAGTCCCTTCTTTGTGACCCACTTCTTAAGGAATCCCTTAAGATCCTTGTCCATCTTACCCTCGACCAATGCTGTAGCGGCTGCAAGGGCTTGAGTGGTGTCCTCGAACTTCTCGAATGCGTGTAGTTTGACACTATAGTACAAATAACACGGAAACACGTGTGCGTATGTACACACACAGGGGCATAATATGGTTGACGTGTGTGAGTTTGTGTTTGTCATGGTTTTCAATCCTTCAAGATTGTATGTATTCATTCGCAATTCAAATGCTGAATACAATCACCGACGTTCGGTGACCATCTCATCATATAACACAACTCCAATGTACGTACAGAGAACCACCACAAAAGAGCGCTCCAAGCAGTAAGAATAACATATAAAAGGTGATATAAAAGATACCTATAAAGAATAATTATCAAAACTATCCAACATAGCTTGGATATCAGAATTCCTTCGAACCACATTGCTAACGCCAAAGCACTATGATACAAGAACTTACGTCTTAGTGGCCTGTTCAGGGGTCTCGAACGACTTCCAAATATCATCGGGTTTCTTAAGAACACCCTCATCCAATACCTTGAACAAGGCGTAGCCCGCAGGCGTTTCGAATAGCACTAACATATCGTACGTGGGTGGGTGGTATGCACTAGCGTGTATGTACGTGTATTCGTGAGTGTATTTCCTGCCTACTGCCATGCAACTTGATATTCCTAGCTCATAATATCCAAATTGTTTTGAGGTCGAGGGGCATGTGCACTTTCCGAATTGATAATATGTGCTTTGTAATTGTCTACTACCACAACTCGGTCTTGTGCCTTTATAAAATCAGAACCAAATTTCTGGAAATAAAATAATACACGTGACATAAAAATGTCTTTCATTTCTGCCGTCAAAATTTCTGGGGGATTACGCCATGTCGGTACCGAACATTTTATTATCCTGTCCCACTCTTAGTCGAGTTATTTGGGCTTCGTGAACCAAATAGACCAATAGAGCACATTCCTGTGGCAACACCAATAAGAATTAAATACAAGAGAACCCGCCAAAAACCACACTTCCATTTGTATAATGTGTTGCACTGTTGCAACTTGCAAGTTGCAACAGTCCGCGACTCGGCGGTCCGGGCGGTGTCGCCTTTCTCCGATCACCTCCTTTTCTCTCTTGACAATATTTATTTATGTCTGATTGTTTTTAAAATTTGTTTGATATATGAACAGATCCTATTCGATATTTCCGTCATAATCAGATAGCAAATATATAGACATGGATACAATGTCCAATGTGCAACAAGCAGATCGAATGACGGCCGAACTGCACCACCTGATTGAGAATACCGAAACAAGCGCCCTTGAATTTCGGTCCTTTTTCGTCGCTTGGGATGGTGTGCTCGTAGCTGCATACAACGCTTTTACCCCAGCGTTGCAATTATTGAAGGACAGTATCAATGCAAATAACGAAATAGTTTTACAAGCTGAGAATCACGGCAGCCGCTGGCCCAAGGTATGTGACTACTACACACTCTAGGCAGTTTCGTCAAGTGCGATTCGTGTCGGACCACAGGGAAGTAATATATAATGTTATGTATGGCTATCTTCACAATTTTATCATGTGATTAATCAGTGTAGGAAATATTGAATAGTTGTCTTGCACTTTTTCAAATTTTGTGAGTAAAATTCTTTAGTAGCCCACAACTGACTGCTACAGGCTTGCACATCGACGATTTTTACATACGTACATTCTATATATATATATATATATATGTGTGTGTGTGTGTGTGTGTGTGTATTATATTGTGTGTGTGTGTGTGTATATATATATATATATATATATATATATATATATATATATATATATATATATATATATATATACATATATATATATATATATATCAGGAGGGAAACTTTGATGGTGGCAACACCGACCTTGATTCCCGAATATGGACAAACTTGGTCATTTCGAGGAGTATATATAGTCGTAACAAGTTTCCGTAGTGATATTGCGGAAGGATCACTACTAATAGTATATATATATATATATATATATGAACTATATACGTATATATATTTTTTGTGTGTGTTGTATACATATATATATACTTATGTGTATTGTGTATGTGTATGTGTATGTGTTTTTATATATACGTATATATTTATATATATATATATGTTTGTGTGTGTATGTGTGTGTGTGTGCTTTGTGTATCACTTTGTTGATGTAAGTCTCGATTGATATAAATGTGTCTCTGTATATATCTTTGAAGCTACACGTGCAATATGTACGTATATATATATATATATGTGTGTGTGTGTGTGTGTGTGTGTGTGCGTATGTATATATATATATGTGTGTGTGTGTGTGTGTGTGTGTGTGTGTGTTTGTATGTCTGTGTCTGTGTATGTGAGTGTTTGTGTGTGTGTGTTTGTGTGTACGCACATATACATACATGTGTGTTTATGTATAGGTGTGGGTAGCTGTGTGTTATGTATCTATTTATGTGTAATGTATATCTTTATATAATTTATTGAACGGAATATGTGTGAATTTAAATAATTGTTTTAGTGTATTGGTGTGTTTGAAATGTTTCAATTTGTTTTACACAACGGGCAGTGTTTGTATATATTTCTTGTTCAGATGTACATATCAATACAAATATGACAATGTGTCATCCACATACGCGCATATCTTTTTGCTACAATTTGTATACCAGGTTTTGCATGTACTCTACAACGTAGATTAACATTTGAATAGGTAGCACCTTCCTATATAATTTATGTGGTGAAGAGTATTCAGTCAATAGATAAGAGAAGTAAGATTTCTGACTATACGAGAAGTTAATGAATTTTGAAACCTATGTGATTGTTCACTCCAATGCGAATAGTCTCTTGTGCACCTTAACCTGGATTCCGCACGGCGAGCTTGGACTTGCCCTAGTACACTCGCCACATCGGTAATAATTTGCGAGTACTTCTTATCTCAACCTCTTTGAGGTAAGTTTACTAAGCGCTATTCGTTCACTAATCAACGCTATGGATACGGAACTCAGTGTATTCTGCCTGTATAGCTTCAAACTGTGAAAAAAGACGGTGGCTATGCACCTACCCCTTAGTGACAAGATCTTCTTCAAGCTGCAATTTTCTGTTTCTTCCCTGGTCATCAGACAACTTTAGGTGCTATCAAGGACGATCACCCTCCCCTGAGCCTCAGTGAACTCAAAATGCTGCGCGAGATTTGCATCACGCAGAGCGCTGCAATGGTGGGTTGATCTGAAGTGAGTGCAGCCTGTGATATCGACCCCCATGGCCAGCAGCGAGTATTTACGAATCCGCTGCATTGAAGTCGATGTGATACTCGACTCCTAGTGTGTGCTACCAAAGAACATTATCCATGTCTGAAAAGGCATATTTTGTTTACATGTTCCTTTGGCTAAATGCAATGGCAATTGTTCATTCATGATAGGACCACAGGCCTGTACAAGTTGACTCACTCGATTTGGTAGATTTCGAATCGCGGAACTTGGAGAAGGTCGTAAACAAAGTGCATTTCGATTTGAGCACAGTAAATGTCTCGGCATCAACTGAAGGTACTGCGCAAGACTTCGCCAATAGTTTTCTGTTCAGATGCTGTTACTTTGGATTCTACTCCGACCTCAATAAGGCGTAAATATACATACAATTGCTCGGCGGCCGCTTAATATGAAGCCGATCGAATGTGCGTCATGTATGCGAATGTTTAAACATGGTACACTCCTCAGTACAATCAAGAGAGACGTGCCTTCTTCAGCGAATCTAAATGTTAATTACGGTATGGTGAACATGACGCTTTTGATATATTCCTCGTACACATAGTAAAACCGAAAGTACTACAAACATATATATATATATATATATATGTGCGTGTGAGTGTGTGTGTATGTGTGTGTGTGTTGTGTGTGTGTACGCCTGTGCATGATGTGTGTGGTATAATATGCTTCTGTGTGTCGCGCCCTTTATTCTCAGCATTCATTATTTCCACGCACCGCGCTATGTATTATTCACTATGTGAGAGTTGCTCAGAAATGAACAATCGGTGGGCAACTCAAAGCACATTGAAAAGAGTCATATGTAGGTCAGTGGAACACGATCATTGCGATGCCCGTTATATGTAGCTCATGAATGCTCATTCCATCACATTTAGTATCGGATGCAAGCAAAGCAGTGGTTGAACAAGTCCTGAGTGAGTTCTTTGGTTCCACCGATGAGGAATACCTTCCATGTGTGAAGGCAAATAGGAATCGATACAGTAGTTATAGTCAGAGACAGAACGGGTCGACCCTAGTGCATCTTTTGGTAAGTGATTTCTAGATCATGTATATATCGCTCACATTGTGTCATTTTTGGTATCAGAAATAAAACTGACATTGTCAGGCTTCGGCACAACATGTTTAAAAGTACATTTGCTTTACGCTGTACTCTGTTCACTTCTCAATGAAAGCATGATATGGCAATGTGTGCGCGTCTTTGGACGGTAGTGCCTTATGAGATTGGGATCTTTAAGGAGGAGGCTTTCTTGCAGGTACAACAACTCTCATAGCCTATATTTTTCGCGTTTTAACATCGTCCAAATACCCAGAATATGGAATTTGCCGCACAGATGAGAGCGTTCAAATCTGCAATCGACTTGGCCTTCCCAGGAAAATACTGCTGGTTTGCAGAAGATTCCTTGCACATTACTGTGCGAGGGTTGGACCCGCCAATTTAATTAGGATTTAAAGTATACTATTATGGCAATAAACCCCTCCTTTCGTGCACTACCGCAGCTTTGATATAGTAAGAAATTACAATTTTAATACGTATAGATTCCTTCAACCTTATTAATAGGAATCATTCGTGTTTGAAGAATCATAAATGGAAATCAACCAATTACAATGTAGCACTTTGAAGTAAGTTGTCTGTTTCCAAACATTTCAGTGTGGTAGTGAAGTATGTATACGTTGTCGTCTCTATCGGTAGCTATTCAACGAATGCCATTCGTAAGCAATATCTAGAATGATATTGCTTTGTCGAGGTTCGGTATATTTCCGCTCGTGGAGAGGCTGATAAACAAGCGTCCGCTGGTGGTCTTCCGTTGATAGTCCGCTGTTGGATAAACTCTACGAGATTGCGGGCATACCCCCAAGCAGTCGGATACCCTCGTCAAGCAATGTCACCGATATATCATGGTAGTAAAAGATAGACATATCCCTACCCATGGACATAAGGTCTATACAATGACAAATATAGTGATAATGGCCCCGAGACCCTCAATAATTGCCCCATTGTAGCAGTTGAGGGTATGTCACCTGTGCTACTAGTAGTAATAATCATCCACACAGAAACATCGTCACAGGGGGTATAGTAAAGACGTTCATAAAAACTTGGAAGGAAGAAACATGAGTGTACATTTTCAATATTTAGCACAAATGCATGTAAATTGAATACCAATTACCTGGTGGGTAGGCAAGTTTTGTGATTTGTAATATGGAACAACTGATGAAGGTTGAAGCAGGACTCTGGCATCCGCTTGGCCAACTTCAACAACAGATAAACTACGTTTTGCTTAGGTCGAACGCATCCTGCAAATATGCCTTACTTATTCCTGTGATGTGCGATATATTTCGAAACTTGATCGATTTTGATAAACTTGCAAAATGGCACAAATGAATGTCTATGACCAGGGGTAAATAATCGATCCTTGCGTATCCGCAAAAGTAGTCATCCTAATGATCAGTCTATCGTAACGTCTAAGTGTGAAAATTACACTACATCAATTCTATGGCAAGATTTTTGGAAATACATCTGATTCTCTCTCACAGCGACCACCTTGTATCTAGTTCAGAAACAACTACTTCATCTCGGACGATAGTCGCCTCTAATTGACATATTATTTGTTTCAATATGGGTAAATTTGTATGTCTACAAGCACATCAGGTTTATATTCGTTGAAGAGATTCTGGGGGAAATGAAGGGAAGTTAAGATTCTCGAACTGCCGCGAGAAGCTCGGGGCGAGTGATGCAACGATGGAAGACATAAGGTGCGTTAGTTCACGACATACTCTAATAGTGACTCGTGAGTTATTGATATTTTGTACAGCGATTCTTTTGCGAACTCTGCATGAGCATGAATGAGCATGAATGAGCATCATTTGTTATCAGACAGAAACTTATACTCTGATATTGCTTCTACACACGAATGCAAAAACATTACAAACTAATAGTTTGTGTGTAATCACTGAGAGCGAACGAGAAATCCGCCTCCCTGGCTCGTGTGGTGAGGAAAAGACAGTGTTTGCAATAATTCTAACTGCCATCTTGTTTGATTGGCATCATCTACTCGTAAAAATGGAGGCATTAGCGAGCTAGGTATAACTGGAAAATAATAAGTTGTATAGTCAGCCAAAATGACGAGACCAATGGAATTCTAAACTACAGCCCCCGGACAGCATAAAAAATACTCGCGACCCAACGAACAGGGAAAAGTTATACCCTTTTATAAACTGACAAAGGCTTCAAAACTGACGCTTGCTATACTCACAGCAAGTTATTTTGTGCCTAAAACTCCTCGGACATGACTCCGTTCAGGGAGCTAAATTTGATTTAGCTGTATCGATGAAGTGTTATTGCTGTCTTTCGGTTATAAGTTGTAATAATAATAAATACAAAACTATCCTACACCGATACGTACCGCTATCATTGAATAGTTTAATATCTCGCCTTCCACATCAAACACAACTTCGCTCATACTGGGGCTCAGTTGAAATCTCAACCCTTCAATCTGCTATAATTTCGAAGAAGTACACTTTATTGACTTATTTATATTTTCTTTTTCGCGTGTGTTCTATTTGTTAGCTCCCATTGCATGATAAAAACACACATTCGTCGTAGAATACAAAGTAGAGTATAACGAGAAAGTTAAACATCATCGCAAATATTGAACAGCGACCTTTGACAAAAAAAATATTGCTAAACAACGCAATGCCGTAAAGCGACTCACGATCACGACACCATCTCGCTACCTTTTTATAATTCGTCATTTTGATCATTCAAACACTTGCATTTCACGAACATATTGCCTGAGCTTTGTATACAACAATCAGTGGACCTGTATCAAAGGACAACAAAGTACACGTCTATGAAAATTGCAGTCCCCACTATTCTCTACGTGAATAATATACTGTTTGGTATCAGTCAACTATATACAATCTTACCCATTTTAGATGGTTTCTTCATTCCCTAATCTTAATCACATAACAACGGCTTCGTCGTTCGCCGTAATATATCGTAGGGCTCTGTGGGAAATATTCTCTTAAGTATTGAGTTGCTAATTAACCTAATCCCAGCCTAAAAGGAAACGTGGAAAGAAATAGCAGCACATTAGAGATATTATACAAGATCCAAAATCTCTGAGCTTCATGACTTCACGAACGATTTGAAACGCTCTCTAGAGTTAATGGGATTCTGAACGGGCTTCAAATGAAAGTCTGTCATCTCGAGGGACATTTCAACAGTATTTGATGTCAATTTAGAATTAGACGACAACTGCTACACCGAACGTCCTAATCACATATATACTGCTTTGCTGTTCATCGTTATATATTGTAAGACTATGTGTAAAATACTTTCTAAGTATTAACATAAACCGCCAATTTTGATATAGAGAGATTGAGAAAGAATACCACATCAAAAATACCATACAAGATCCGAACTTCTGACCATAAGCCAAGGAGATTTTGTATCAACCTCAAACAAAAAATCGCAACCTCGAGTATAAGATATCAACGTACATTTTAGCCGTCTGCAATGCTAATCAAAAATCAGACGACAACTACTGAACCGAAACCACCGAATTGAAAAGGAAGGGAGATTATGTATCACTGGAACCGAGGCCAGCTATCATTAAGTTGTACTTATTCAAATGACCCAAAATCAAACTATTTCAAACAGGAAAACCCTACGGTTTTAAAAAAAAATCTTTAAGGCTAAATAAATAGCAGAAACAGGGAAATCCGCTATTCTCTTGATATATTGATGCCTTGATTGGGGCATAAATACAAATAGCTACCAATTTGCTATTGTCAGGTTTATTATGTCTAAATTCGGCCGTCACCTCTCAGATGGTACAGCACTTTTCGACATGTTATATATCACATAAGTATACGACAGCTTAGGCTCGGTCTTAACGAAAAGGCCAGGAATTATTATATTTAATTGAATTATAAATTGGTGTAGAGATTGGTACAGGAAACGTGCGAAGACACTGATTTCATGTGAAACAGTTTATGGAAAATTTGGAAATAAAGGGTTTATATTTTCTGCTATAGGCCAATTGAACAAGAACAATTAAACAAGAACAATTGAACATCGTATATGGTTGAAATAGCCATGAACATCTCGCTTTACAGGTATACCTCATGTGGGAAGCTCTAAAATGTCTTCTCTACGTTTGTGCTCGTCTACTACATCCTCTTTTGACCAGAGATTGTATGGATGTTGAGACGAGCGCTTTATATCGTATCAATCGACGAGTTCACTGGAGTTTGCGAATAAAGAGCGACGTCTTGGACAATGTTCTCCAATTTTGTGGGCAATTCATTGTTTGAGGTGCTTCTGCTTTGTGTAAGGGTGTATGCAGGACCATAGCTCTCGGTAGAGCCCCGAATTTCGATTGAGACATCGAAAGCATGTATGTGCTCTTGTTATACAAAGTTGTGTTCGGTAACTTTGTAATCTGTGGTCGGAAAATGTGTAACATTATGATACAACCTCCAACCTTCCTACAGCCTAGATACATGATGTATGTATGAGTCTCATACCTGCGCAATGTTTGTTGTGACTCAAAAGTTTGTTTGCGCACATACATGTACTGCACTTTTTAGAATAAAAAACTTCTAGAAAATTGTATTTTGAGTGCCCTACAAATAGTTTTTCCCTGCAGACGAGATGAAAGAACGTACATTTTGCCAGCAAAAATTTTGCAACTTTCTTTTTTGTACCACACATGCCCCAATTTACGATTGCTCTACCGTTCGATCCGATTGAAATTGACCGTGCAAAACTATTGCCCCCATATATTTAAGTTATCATGGTAATCACGAGCATGACATAGTTTTCGATCTCTACTATGTGCCAAAAGCCGCGCAATATCAATATCATTTAGAGCTCTTTTCAACACGAATTTGTGGTTATTTGCACTTATCGCCTGTTTAACCAATATATCGCGAATATTTCCAGTACTATCTATACTTTTATACTTTCTGAAATTTGATTGATTGTACGTATATCTGTTACTTTATTATACTTCTAATAAATTATGCAATACACTATATAAGGCTTATTTGTCAATATTCCCATCGGCGACTTTTGCTTCGGCTGTTTCGCTTTGATTATTTCCGAAATGTCTGTCACGTTGGGTATAAGATGAGCGTTACCCTTGATAAAACATATCTGCTCAAATGTGGTGCCCGAAAATTTCCTTTCCGACTATCGTCTAGCGCATTTCCTGTCATTGAAAAAACACTTTCTAACCTACAAGATGTGGGTGAGATTGAGAACAGAAATTAATACCACCAGGTATAAGGTGGGCATTTGCACTCTGTGATCCCTCCATAACTCCATCGCTTGTTCGGGGGGATCCATTTCTTTCTGTTCATACTTTGCTGCTTGACCTCTGCCGACCTTCACCTTAACCATATTGTTAATCTGTAGTGGTAGAGACTCCCATGTCACAATTTCGGCAGCGATCTTTTTTTTTTCATTAGGGTAACGTAGTCGGCCTGGGGTCTTGTTGTATTTTGCTCGAACAATGGCTTCGGTAAGTCACAGCTCCTCGTACTTGCTATTAACTTTCGTCTTTTGTGTAAGTATGTTTCTTTAGTAGTTTCTTCCGTAATGTTAGTTGGTGTGGTAGCAGCGGATGTGGCCGTCGCTATACCGCCTTGTGTTTTCTTCTGTGTTTCGTCTCTAGGCTCTATGCCCATCTTTTACTTGCGATGGGTCTTCAAGAGTTTTAGAGTTCGTTTGGACACAGAATCTTTCGCAAAGTTTTTGCAGTCAAGTGTATCGATCGTAGACAACACCAAACTATTCATTTCTTTGTCCAAAGGGTGCAAATAGTAATGAACAAGCATTTCCGTATCAGGTTTATGCTCGAAATAGGTATGTAAGCAGTCCCTGAGCCTTCTTCGCAAGCTTCTAATCTCTGGCGTTAGGTGCTCCACGCTATATTGCTCAATTACATCAGGAGTCCCCGAAACCTTTACCACATCTACCAGAGAATCCTTGCCCAAAGCAAACTTACAAGTCATTACAAGTTCGTTCGCATCTGCCAATGATTGAAACATTTTTTTGTATACCAATTTGTTCAAACATCAACGGCTGGAGTACCACTATTAATTCCCGGCGCATCTGTTTCATCCGAGGCGAACACTTACAATTACGTTCCCTGACCTTGCCGTCTTCGCCGTGCCACAGTCCTCCTGGACCATTCTCACGTGGATCATCCGAGATACTTTTCAGAACCGGATCAATCAAGTCATTACGCTTGGACATTTTGTACCAGCTCAGCCAACAAGTAGGCGAGCTAGTGATAAGTCTCTTCACACTTTCATCCGCCTTCTCCTGTGCTAAAGCTTGTGCGTCAGCAGCAACAGTACTCTTGTTAAAAAAGGCTGCTCGTCTTGCTATGTTGCGGATTAATGCCTCAATCGGAGCTGAGTCATACATTTGTTGCTGTATATCTTCTACACCGGGGTCCATATTGATTAGTCGCTCAAAGACATCCAGTTGATCGTCTACATCCTCGTTGTGCAGATCTTCACTAAAAAATCCCCTAATCTGATCAGAAGCTGTGATAAACTCTCCACCGATTGAATTCTTGAGACTCAGTTGTATACGATGTGCCATACATTCGGCTACATACACAGCGGTGTCTTCTATAGCTTTCATTGCATTGGTCGCGTTGCCCAGCGTTCCACTATGAAAAATATCTGTCATTTTTAAAAGCAATCCCCGGGCAAACGCAGTATTCTCCAAGGGGTTCAAAAAACCCATTACGCTGCCACTCGACTAGATTTGAGGAATAGTGGTTTCCTCAGATCTGAACTAATCCAACGAAGGCGGTATGATGAGTAACGCCATCTAGATTGTTGTAATGTATTAATGAAGGATACGGGTGCAGTATAAGTAGAGCAAACTATCATAGGGACTTGCCGAGCAAGACTTATCCACGTCTTGATCTCATCTTTCTCTTCTAGACTCACGGTAGATCGTACTTACATACATTCACGGCCCATTGTATGTCGCTGAGTTTCGCATTTGTGAAAGTGACTTCTAGTGTAGATGTATTCTTGGTACCATCTATGACCGCGAAATTGAGTTTTTTTTCTGCTTACAATTGGTAGCGGCCGCGATTATCTTCTTACACTCCTTGTCTAGGCCTGCAACCCATTCTTTCAGATGACTCGTTGTGTAATGGGCGATGGCTTCCCTCCCTTAGGCCTACTGATTTTCTTCAATCTCTATTATCCTTCAGATCTATCGCTGTGCAGGGCCAAAATATGAATAATACGTCGATTCCAAAATTTCATATTTCCAATATTTTCACATTATATGCTAAATATTCTCATATCTCTATATTCTCATAATATGACCGCGATGGGCGACACCAAATTTGTCTCATAATCCTTACTCATTTTTATGAGTTTCCAGGTTTGCTCTGTTGACGCTTTAACGCTTGTTTTGCTGTACTTTTCTACTCTGCTAGATAAATAATTTCATGGGAAAATTCGGTCTGAAAATGAAACTGCTTCGAGATGTAGTAAGTCGTAAAGATAACTGTACCTCAATGTACTCCACTCGTACAAGGGGAGGCGTTGTTCATTTATTGAACTATTCCTTACACTATATTTTGATCATGTGTTTTCCTACTCAGATTTACTCTGAACGGATAAACCCAGTTTCAAAATATAGTCTCTAAGCCCCTAATACTAATTAAACCCTAGTACTAAGTAAACCCTAATCCCCAAATAAACCCTGTCCAGGGACCTCCTGACTACAACCCCCCCAAGCTGAAGCACAATTTGTGGGCCAGCTTTAAAAATTCGAAGGAGTATCATGAACAGGTTAGTGTGCTGGCATTTATCCTCAAATAGCTAGAGAGCTCGGTTATTTATTCACCACTCGCGCTGGTGACTAAACATTATGTACATATAACTAACCTAATATATGTATATCTATAAACAACTGGATGCTATTTACAACTGGTCACTGCGACGTTTCCTGGCTCGTGTCTGTGTATCCTTATGATAAGCTACAATGTCATTCGCATCGTCAAAAGCATCGGCTGTTTCCCATGTTGGCACTCCCTCACGCCAACGTACAAGGTATTCCAGCTTCCCCGTATCATCGTTCGTCCGATGTTTGGTAATGTGACGGGATGCTGCGCCACCTTCATGCCACAGATCATCGTGCAATGAAGAGTCTGTACTGCGGTGGACCAACCGTTGTAACTCTACGCGAATCGGTTTCCCTTTAAACTCCTGGGGGGTGAACCCATCTCTATGTGTGAGATCATAGCCCTGACCGTTGCGACGTTTGACTACATACGGGCCAAACAGTGGGCACATAGTTTTGGAAGTGCGTCCCTCCGACTTCACCATTACTACATCACCTTCCTCGAAGTGAACCAAATCATGAGCATGTGGACGGTCAAATATATTCGTTAACTTGTCCGTATATGTCGTAGTGATCTTATGCAACGTAGACAAAATCGTATCCTGCAACTGGTCCAGCCGTTGTGCCCACGTGTCATTGGTCACGGGTTGTTGCTCGGGAACATCGTGGGTAAAATCCGCAAGCGGAACATGACGGCGGCCGAAATATAGGCGCTTTTGTGTCGTCGGGAGATACGCAAATTCTGGTAAAGCATGGTAAAAGGTAGCCGTTCGTCCCATGCCTGAGGTACTGCCTCACAGTAGATGCGTATAGAGCGTGTTATCTATTTGTGTCAACGATCTGTTGCGCCCAGTACTTGCGGTCTGTATGGTGGTGAGACCTTATGGAGTATACCCACTTCTTTGACAATAAGAGCTACCATGTTATTAGTGAACTCCGTCCCCATGTCGGTATGCAGCTTGCGTGGGAATCCATGTTCACCGAAGATGGCCAGTAACATTTGAGCGGTTGTTTCCTTAGTCTTATCGGGTGTGGCGCGTAATATCGAATTTCCGGATGCGACGTCTAACATGTGTAAAACAAATTTATTCTGTCGGGAGGATGTCACCGCCATTGAGATATAGTCCACCTGGATATGGTCCCATGGGGACTTCGCATCAATACTCATCATCGGATAGAACCCTTTACGCAAGGTGTCTTGGCCCAAACACTGACCACATTGCCGTTTGATTTCAGTAGCTAGTTCTAACGCCCCCGGCCAGACATGTCCGTTCCGTTGCAACTGCTGGACAGTATCGGCGGCACTGTGATGGCCTTGCTCATGATGCGCCTGTGTAAGTTGTGTCCGCCGTTGTTGTTCCATCGGAGTGGCATTCACGAACGCTGGTTGTGCCGCTTCACTACTCAACGCAACGGAAATCTCCCGCGCAGAGTCCAAACATTGATGGTGTGGTGTGTGACGAGGCTCGGCGTATCCTAACCGTTGGGTGAAGCTCTCTGCTAGTTGGAATCCCGACGGTGGGCCCACTCGTGCCACCCCCGTGTGGCCCATGGAGGGTTCCCGCAAGCATACTTCGCATATTTCCGAAATGTATGCGGGGTTCGGGGTACTACCACAGGCTCGGCTTCCAGTAATGATTTAAAGAGGTCGAACCATGGTGCTCGAGGGGTCCAAGGTAGGCATACCGTTGCCGTGGCTCCATCTGTTTTGATCTTCCGTAGCATGCGGTGTATCAGTTTCCATGGCGTGTTCATCCATCCATCGACCAGCGCCCAGTCATGGTCAAACGCCCCATTGCGGTCATTCTTAGTTCAGAACCTGGGCAGCTGAGCGCTGTGAGGTGCTGCGAATACGTCTATATTGTTATGGCCAAAGATAAGTTGAGTCTGTTCAAAATAGCTGGTAAATAGTTGCCAGTAGTCTGCATACAGCACCTCTGGTACATCCGTCTCCGCCGTTCCTTCATGTATCCGACTGAGCATGCCCGGCAGTACGTTCTTCTCCCCCGGTATATGCGAAATAGTAAAATTAAAAGGCGCTATGATATGATGCCTACGTTGTAACATAGGGCTAAGTTTCAGTTGGGTGTTCATATATGCTAAGCCTTGTGGTCCGTAAACACCGCGAAGCGTTGTTCCTCGAGGTAGTCGCGGAAGTGTGTCAACCCATAAACGAACGCCAGGAGTTCCTTCATCGGCGGTGCATAGTTCTGCTGAGCGTAATTGAGGGTCTTACTGAAGAACATGGGGTAGTGTTTTGTGCCCTCCACCCACTGAAATAGCGCTCCCCCTAGTCCGTAGTCACAAGCGTCCGTCTCGAGGTTGAGTGGGACGTTATCTACTGGGAAGTGTAATGCTACTACGTTCACTATCGCATCCTTCATCGCTTGCCAAGCGTCCGCACGGCGTCGCTCCCACCTGTCTCCTATCAGTTCGTTTGGTTTGAGCTTACAGAATTCACGTAGTGGCGCCACCACGTGTGTAAAATCGGGTAGGTGCTCGTGCAAGAAATTAGCCAGGCCCAACGCTGAGGCAATGTCCTTGTACCGCTGGGGTGTTGGCCAGTCCAGAAGTTTGGCCTGTTTCTCAAAGTCGACATCAATCCCCTTCGCCAAGACTTTCTTGCCCAGTATCGTAACTTCCGCAATTGCGAAATGACACTTGGCCGGATTCAGTTGGAAGCTATGGTATGTCAGTCTCTTGATCACCTCCTTCACTGTAGCCACGTGTTCCTCGTAATCGTCGCTGGCTATTACTATGTCGTCGATGTAGTGGTGGACTGGCAAACCATCGAGTATCGTACTAAGTGTTCGTTGAAATTGCTGTGTCAGCACGTGCAAACCGAATGGTGCCGATGTGAACGAGTACTGGTATCTGTCGTGTATGAAGCTGAACAGATATCTAGAGTCGGGATATATTGGGAGTCTATGATATGCTGCCGATATGTCGAGTGTAGTATAGTACTTCCTACTTTTTAATCTAGAAATGACCTCATTCACTTTCAGTATCAAGAACTGGTCTCCTGGTCTCAGTGCGTGACCGCTCGCATATCTAGGCAGACGCGTACCTTCTTAACGTTGCCCTCACTGTCGAATGTCGGAACCGCTAGAAGTGGTAGAGTCGGGATGTATTGGGAGTCTATGATATGCTGCCGATATGTCGAGTGTAGTATAGTACTTCCTGCTTTATACTCTAGAAATGGCCTCATTCACTTTCGGTATCAAGAACTGGTCTCCTGGTCTCAGTGCGTTGACCGCTCGCATATCTAGGCAGACGCGTACCTTCTTAACGTTGCCCTCACTGTCGAATGTCGGAACCGCTAGAAGTGGAAGATTATCCGTCGTCGGTCGTACGCTTCGTGATCACCAAGTCTTTTATCCATTTCTGTACTTGTTCGTCGACGTACGGAAGCCATCGTGTTGACCTTTTCATGCTCATTGCTTGCTCGCGGGTTATTGGTATCGCCACCTCACTCTCCTCTAAGCGACAACGTGCATTGTCCTCAATAGCGACATTCGTTTCTAAAACTGTGGCAAGTCGTGCCCGCACTCCGTCTGGTTCGGTAATGTCGGGGGCCTGGCGGCGAGCCACTTGCTTGAGAAGGTCGTCGAGATCTGTTGGGTCGATAGGTATCAACGGTGATTGTATCCCTCCCAGGTATATCCTATGTTAGGCACCATATCGAACCCAAGTATGATATTGATGCCGTCGGGTAGATTCTTTAGTTCAAACGACCCGTTGATAATTCCGGAACCATAGCGTATCGGTAGTACCTCTATTGTTCCCAGCCGAGGAGTACGGGCTGCCTTGTCTGCTAAGCATATGAACGAACCGGTTGGTGCTGGTGTGATTGGTCGTCCTAAAAGGTCTGCGGATGACCGAGCAATGCAGCTACGGTTGGCACCTGTGTCCACCATCGCACGGAATGTACGCCCATTCACTTGCAGTTGGATGTAGACACGGTTATCGGAAGACAGCAGTGGGTCTTGGATCGCCATTGCTGCCTGCCATATATGTGTCAGCGTAAGTGCTACATCATCGTCGGTCACCCTGACGTCTCAGGGTTGCTCCGGGAACGGGGTCCATGACGACTGTGGTGTAGTCGGATAGGAATCGTCGCCTTGTCCAGCTTCCTCCGTCAAGATCGAATGTATATGTATCTCTGTGGCAGACTGGGTGTCGTTCCGGGGGACGTCCTCTTGTGTGACCACATTAACCTGTGGTGTGGACGTGTTTGTCGTTGGCTGCCTGTTGGAAAACTGCGACTGGTGGCGTTCTTTCCCTTGCGGTAGCGTTGTACGTTGCGACGACTGTATGTCTCTGCTGTGAATATTGGTATCTGACGATCGCGATCTATTGTCCTGCACCCCTGATTGTGCCGCCCTGTAATGGTGACACCGTGGTATGTGTCGGAGGCCTGGAGGTGCTTGCGCCCGGCAGCCGTTACATGTGGTTGCTGTAGCCGTCGCTGTTGGCCGTTGTTGCCACTGTTGGTGTTGACGTTGACCTATATGGGGGCTGGGTCGACCTGTTGCCTCACTTCTGCCTGTGTTCCCATTGTGACCACGACGATTCGTTAGACTTTGTGTGGAACGTATCTGTGCCTCTTGGATATCCGGGTTCAGTAGCTGTAGTAACTCGTGGGTTTCCATCAGTTGCCATTTAGGGTGCAACTGCAAGGTACGTTCATATGTACGCGAGCCAAGAGTATCCTCCAAGAGTTGAACGATGCAGTAAGTTCTGCTTGAACTCGGCATCTGTTTGACAACGCTCATGTGCTCGACGGTGCTTATCCATTAGATAAGTCATCTGTTCCATTACTGGGACGTTGCTGATCTTGAGATGGCCCTTCGCTAGCTTACGAAAGGTCGGGTCGACCGTCGCCTGAGTCTCATGTGAACAAACTTGCGTAATCTGCAACTCGGGAGTCCACGCCACTAGACGTTGATGATTGGATTTAATATATTCAAGTGTGTATTGTTCAGCTTTGAAATGACTCAACACTTTGTAGAACCCCAACCCTGATATCTGTGCGTTCTTAAGGGCCTCTCGTAAAGCCCCTTTTGTATCGCGCTCCATGATGTTGCTAAGGTTGTATCTGTTAGAAGACCATTCAAGCCAGCTACGAGGTTCTCGTGGCTCCTGTTTGTTCGTTGGACGAGAATCATGCTTTGCCCGTAGTGTCTCGAGCATGCCTCGTAATGCCTCTGCACGTGGTAAGCTATTAGCCTCAACCGCACTACATAGTTCTTCCGATAGTTTAAACATTCGTGCGTGTAAAGCCTGACGATCGGCTGCTATACTTTCCGGTGTTGGGGGTGTATACTGCTGGTCGAGTCTTCTACGCTTATCTGCCGATACTGATTGACTCGACGGAGTAAGTTCAAGCATCCGTTGTGCCGGTAGCATGTGGCTGAGCGTCTCTTGCTCGAATTGGCGACCTTGTCGTCGTGTGTGCAACGATGCCTCCATGTTATCGCGACGGTTATCCAATGCTTCTCTACCATGAGGGTTCTCCTGAGCCCGGTGTTGTTCTTGTACAAAGTCATGTAGCGATACTTTGTCCTGCGGCGCCTCACTTCCCTCCTGGTCCGACGATGTATAACCTAATCCCCGTCGCGACTGGTCTGCCCCTCGGATGCGAAACTTTAAGTTGTCGGATGTCTGAAGTGTGGTAGATCGTCGTAGGCGCTGTAGACGTCGGTCATACTTCTCTAACAAAGATTGTTGACGGCGGAGGAGACTTGTCAGCTGTTCTGGAGTGTCGTTCTCTCGATCTCAGTTCTGTCTCGTTCCTCTGGGACGATTACGATGACGTCTGCCCGTTGTGTTGTTTACACCCACTCTCACTGTCGCCGTAGCCTGCAGATGGTTCTGTGTTGCCAAACGTGCGGCTCCCATTGCCTCGGGGGTCCCCAACCCCTGTTCCGTGAAGTCTACATCACTAGGTGTAGTAATTCTCTCAGTACGATTCTGTTGTGCCATCAATGTACGTTGAAGTACCGACTGATTATTCCGGTGTTCTTAGGTTGTTCGGACGTCCTCCGTCCAGAGCTATTCGTTCTTGGTGCTGTCGTCTACGTCCGCGCTGATGAATGTTCTCGCGTTCGCGCTGCTCCGGGGGGAGCTGCTGCTGTCGACGGCTTTGTCATGTGTTGGCCATACTCAATCGTAGCTTATTGTTTTATTTTTGCGATAAACAATGTGATGTTGGGGGACTTCTTCTTTTGTCTTAATACTCGACGTCCCCATGATCCCATCTTCTAAGTTATGTGATCACACAACCCATCTCATTCATGTGATATATTCTTGTACCGCGGCCTTATTGCTTCGATGTTGTTCGTCTTGATCGGTCTTGCTCCTTGTCTGCCCCAATTATCGTAACGAGTACTCTTCACTCTTGTAGATGCCCCGGACTCACGACTCACGTGCGCTTACTCCCTTGATGTGGCTCCGTACTCTCTCCATGACTACTCCATCTCACTACTGCGCTTGTTTTTACTCTCTTAAACCGTACCTCCTTACGCATCTCTAGCCTATCCGCAATCACGGTGGTAGACTGCGCTTCTACCCCGTTTGACGAACCCTCATTCGCTTCTCACACGCAAGACTCGTAATCTCCTCAGAATCTCTGGGTGTTCCCCGCACACAATGTCACTACACCACAAACATTTTCACTCTCACTAACACATATCTTACTCACCGTTTTACTTCTCCTGTGTCAGCATTTCTCCTACACGTACTTATGTCCTAATGTGTTCGTCTGTAAACTCTATGAACCTTTCATGCGCATGTGCAACCTTCGATGCGCTAGCATCTAATATCCTGTATAGTGTGTAGTGTGTGTCCTAAGACTTTATCTCCGGTGTACTTGACTATGTTCTCTCCTATTTATCTACTTCTGTTAGCGTGTGCACAAAGTCTATCCTTTTGCTATGTTGGCTTCCTGTATCATGTGATGTGTGGTTGTGTGTATCCAGAGCCCTATTTGTTCTTCTTGTGTCCCTTAACCTCTCATGCCTTACCTAATGTCCTTACTTCTAACTCCTCGTTTCCACTTAACAAGTTTAGACAGCACTTTCTATACACAGGTCTACGTAGTCAACACTAAGAACAACCTTCACTGTCACACTAGTGCGTGTATCCTCTTTACGTACCTTGTCGATGTTCCTATTGCTTCCCAACTGGGTGCAGTTTTCAACTAAAGACACCTACCTAAAAAATTTCTGCACTCTTCTTTTGTCGCTGTTTACGTCCTGCTGATGTATCGCCGTCCAATCCGGTGTATAACCAAATCGATGCGATGGAATTGACCTTAGTGTCCATGTCGATGTTGGTGTTGGTCTCTTTTGATCTTGGCCCAACCCTTCCTATCTCCTAATTCTATTAGTTCCGGGTGTCGTTTCCAGTGGAACCTTCCCTTCAGACTTCCTCTATTTGCTTTCTGGTGACACCACCCTAACATTCAATCGGGCGGGATGACTGCGATTGTATAACATCTGTCTACGATTATGTAGTTCCTTTCGTCTTGTGGTTCTCTCAATTTCCTGAGTTCTCCTAACTTCTTCTGGTTCTGATGCACTGCTTTCGCTTGTTAACGGTGCTGGCATACTGTCACTAGTGTCACTGCTTACGAAACCACTGTCTGTACCGTCTTCTCTTCGCAATTATATTCCATGGGACGCCATTTCCGTGGTCGATGTCGATGTTTGAGTAATCTCTTTCCTCCCTTTTCTAATATAAAATTTGATTTTGGGCCCCCGCTAGTATCTATTCCTCTTCAGTATATGTTCAATAATGTCCAACCTATAAGTAAGCTCCTACTCGAATTTACTCTGAACGGATAAACCCAGTTTCAAAATATAGTCTCTAAACCCCTAATACTAAATAAACCTTAATACTAGTAAACCCTAATCCCCAAATAAACCCTGTCCAGGGACCTCCTGACTACAGAGAATATGGCATGGCATAAGTACATCGCCCCTATTGTATCTTTAGGTAGTATCGGAGCAACGTCTGCTGGAAGGAATAAGCTCCGCTGATACTTTACCGCTTGTTTTTATGTATTTTTCTACTTTGCTAGATAATCTGTTTTTGTGAATACTCAATCTGAAAATGGAACTGTTTCGATTACATGGTATGCCATAAGTACAGCACCCTTAGTTGGTCTTTAGATAGTATCAAAGCAACGTCTACTCGAAGGAATAACCTCCGTTGATGATCTAATGTTTTTTTCTGAATTCTTCTAATTTGCTAGACAATTGGATTCCGAGTAAATTTGATTAACTTGTCAGCTTTATTATATGTAATATAATTGGCAGTTCTCAATAGACCACTAAGAGGTTGAATTTAAAACAGTAGCCTTTGAACGTAAAATAGTTGCCGGACAATGTGTCAGCGCAGGTTGTAAACTTGCTAGCTTCGATTTCAACATTTTTATTTCACTTATAACATTCCATCTGTGTTTTTGTTTTCAATAGGTCAATTGATTCTATATAATACATTATTATTTTTTGCTTTATCGTCCGGTTTTTTTTCTCGAGGGGGACATCAATTTTACGCCCTAGCTAAGTGTATTGATCGCAATAAATCACGATTGTTTACTAAGCATAAAACTAAAACCTCTGGATATGGACTAAGGTTTGACCCTGAGATACTTCCACAGCCGGTAGCTTTCGCTGATGCAAGCTTTGCCTCTGACACAACAGACCGTATTCAACTAGTGGTTACGTCATTTTTATGTGCATTGCACCTGTGATTTGGGGATCAAGAAAACAGAAATTGACGGCATAGTCCACGTGCGAAGCAGAAGTTATTGCTCTGAATGATGTCACACAGGAAATCAGTTGGCTGCGAAATTTATTTTCGGAACTTGGTATCGACATTGAACCAATTGTCATCAATCTAGACAACCAATCGGCGAGAAAATTCGCTGAAGATGATAAGGTGAACCGCAGAATCAAACACCTTGACTTTCAACACTATTTTATCCGGGATAGGATTCAAGACAATTCAGTTGTACTACGATACATGCCCATGGACGAGATGATTGCTGGGGCAATTGTTTGTGAAACACAAGACAACCATGGTCAGGCCAAGCATGTCATATTTAAGTTACGTACTTTACGTTTTCTTATTTAGTTTTGGAACAGTTTTTAATTGTAATTGCTTATTAAGAAATCTGTTTCCAATATATTGCATATATATTAATCTAAAATTGGCTACAATGAACTAAAATTACGATTTCTCTATCACATGATAAATTATTAAGATTAAGAGATACCTGTCATGTTAATATCATTTCTTTTTTATGATATCCTTTCTTCTTAAATAAAATTTCTTAATTAAGAATGTGTTGCCCGTGTATGTCCTTTCTTAAATAATTATCACATTAAAGCGTGAAATTTTCTTCATATTTCTTAAAACTTAATGTTGTTGACATACAAATCTCGTTTTTATACTAGGTACAATTCAGTATAAACTGTTTGTATATGTTTAACACATGTTATGATGTCTAGTTTACAACTGCACATTACGCAACACAATCAACTCAAAGTACATAGAGCCCCCGAGTCCGAGTCCTGAACGTATCCGGAATATCGCGTAAGTACTAAGTACACCATCAATTACCATTGTTAATATGGGTGCTACCTCTGGTTCTACTTCTCGCCCTCAGTGGAGACCGTTTATTCAAAGAATGATAGAGAATCTCCATAAGCTTCCAAGAAATGTTCAAAATGTTCTCAGATATCCCCTATCGATCGGCAAAATAATACAAATCTAATGGATACCTTCATGTATCAGACTGTCGGTGTTCTAGGCATGGAAAGTGTAAGTATTTACCTGGATGTGGGCTATGGAGTTCTAATTGAAGTTCATAGGGCAAACAGACACTATACAATACGAGATGGTTTTGAATGGATAGTACGAGCGTTGAAGGGTTCCATAGGAGGCATGCCTTTTCCTGAGGTTGCCTCATCCTCATTCATATCCCGCAAGAGTTGCGCTGCCCTTGCAATACCTCCCATCTGATACACTGCTCTAAAAGTTTCTCTCAGATGAGGAGGTATACTATTTAGTACTATCATTTTAACACGAGTCTCCATGGAAGCCGCTGCTTGTACCATGGTTTCGTCCCAAGATGTCTGTTTATCTTCTTCCGTCAGCATTACAGACATGCCTGCCTTAAGGAACGCTGACAGACCACAGCGTATCATTAAATCATATACAGCCCCTTCATGAGCCTCACTCATGCTTTCAAATCGAGTCAGCAAATCTTGGTAGCAAGGATGCTCCGTATCCATTCCAGAGTCTGGACTGAGTATCATTGATAGGTAACGATGGTTCTTCTATACCTTCATTATTTTCCAATTCCGAATACTCTTGTAATCGCTTCACGATTGTGGCAACTTGATACACCGTCATCAATGTGCTGGGTCCACTCTTGCCGTACGTCCTGACCAGTTCTTGGTCGCCATTCGACATTTCAACGTGGATACACCCTTGAACCATTCTTAAACTAGTAGAGCTTCAGAATTAAAATTGCTGAACTCCTCAAAATAAATTATGTGTTTATACTTGATCAGTACTTCACACAAGGACTTAGCAGCACTATCAGATGTGTCCAGCAATGGTTGTTTTAGGCTTTGTTTCAAACTGGCGATCTGATGTCAGCAGGTACCCAATACCTACGCCTACGCATGTGCATGTGCCTGTCCCGGAAACTCCTTTGCCAATACCTACGCCTACGCATGTGCATGTGCCTGTCCCGAAAACTCTTTTGCCAATACCTACGCCTACGCATGGGCATGTACCTCTCCCGGAAACTCCTTTGCCAATACCTACGCCGCCTGTGACTGTACTTATGGCATCGCCCATACCAATAGCACCTGTTGTACACACACAACCACTTCTAAAACACACAAGATTACACACAGGATTTACACACAAGCCAAAACTAGTACCTATGAAATGATGTATAGCTGAAGTATGTGGGGCGCTATCGAGCAATATTAAGAGTGTCAAACCACATAAGAAAGTATGCAAGGCGCTCAATGATGATCCGACTTTGTATGAGTTAAGACACAACAAATAAATTATTCACTAAATGAAGCGAAGGAAAAAACCGAAATTAAAACCGAAATCATGTAACGAAGAGAATGAAAACAAAATCATTAAACGAAGAGAATGAAAATAAAATCATGAAACGAAGCGTGAATTATATCACGCATACACTAATTATAAATAATAATTACACACATATATAAACAATACAAATTACATATGTGCACATACCTGTTTTGTATCCACATTCACACTATGGCAGTTCGATTCATTATATACGATTGCCAAGCAAAACGCAAGGATAGCGTCTCCTTGCATAGGTGGCAACCGATTTGGGAGCCAGTTCTTATTGGTCGAGCAATACCACTGTTGGCGTAGCGCGTATGTGTTGGGCACTTCACAGACTTGACTGACGTGAAAATCGATAGTAAGAATCGTCTAAGAATTAGACGAGGATGAATGGCATCGCTACACTTGCCACGAAGGAGCCGTAGCAAATACAGAAGACTATCTCGACCAGACAGACAAATGTAAACATACATTTATTCCCTACAACATATACTTGACACTATATGCACTGTCCTATATACACATCACTATATACTCACAAGTCCAGCTTCTTGGCCGATGCTGGGCCATCCGTCATTGCAGCAACTCTATCACTTGCCGCTGCCGGCTTAGTCGTTGTTTGTCAGTCAGCTATCCTCTCGTTGCTCGACTTCGGAATACTTCCAAGAGAACTATAGCCGACTAATATGGTTTTCCATTGCCAGTTCAGTGTATCCAGAACACTTGTGCTGATTGACGTATCTTTATCGTCGCTATCTGCCCATGTGGTAAACGTTCTGTTGTATCGCGGGTGCACTATCATCCTTTGCGCTTCGACGCCCTTACTTCTTGCACAGGAGGTACGTGCTGGTAGTGGCGTTTGATACGTTAGATTGAATTTGCCAACTAATCTATCTTTATCTGCCCAACTACCACTGGGAACGATACTGACAGTTTGCAATGCCGGAGCTGTACTACTTGGGAAATAGACGATTCGTGAGAAGTGTTAGAGTGCGGTGTGGTAGACTATAAGTAAAGTGGAAATGTATCTAAAGAATATGGTGCGTTCGAATAAATTTATTTATGATCTCACCCTCAGTTATATACTGATGGTGCTTATACTAGTGTTCAACCACTTGGGTTGGCTAGGGTAAAAGCTCATATGATCAGTATGAGAAACCTTTTGCAGAACACTTAAATACTCGGATATATTTTCTAGAAATAAATATATCATATTCTCTTTTACTACACTCAGTCTCGGACCTCGGCTCTCGGCTAGCCGGTGGCCCGTGTCCTATAAATAGAATTATCTGAGAAGAAGTTTCAAATCACTCTTACGTTCTCTCGGACTGACCCACCTATACAATTTGAGAACAACTCCCAAATTACTCTCGGGCTGACGACGTAAACGTTATTAACGTATATAGAAATACGTCTACTTCTGTAGTCTCTCAATAAGATCAAGTCTGTGCCATACGTGCTCGCTATTAGTTGCCACCCTTCAGTTAATACGCCTGTAATCCCCTTCTTTTCAATGTATTGGGACGGAATGTCGCTCAACGATCTATACCCCATATGTGTAAATTGGTGGTTTTGAGTCTTAATTACGCGAAAACGAAACTATCAAACTGACAAAGGTATGTATCTTCATGGTAGCAATACTTTTTCAATATTCATCGAACACAGTGGTAGTATATAAGTTTATCCTTATACCAAAAAAAAATCATATTGTTCCACACTCGCACAAAACATCAACCAATGGAGTGTATTGCCACTGCTTCCAACGATGCAGAGCGCAAACAACTACGGAATGTACAATGTTGGAGGCACAAAGAATGCACCTCTCATCAACTTGTGTGACAATCAGACTGCAACAAGAAACAACGCACTACAACAGACTCACACTCAAGAATATACACAACTGATGGAGAGAGACCGGTTAGAAAAAGAACACAACAAATATGAAGCCTGATGTGCATGTAGACATATATTATTTTACCCCAAATTAGAATAATAACACTATCTCTAATAACCCTTAAAAAAATACACCCAAAATTAAACAAATAAAAAATGAATTGGAGCGATCTCAGTTTAAAATTCCAGATGCGCCCTTATTTTATATTCAGGTAGTCTCAGAGCAACGTTCGCTCAAATGAATAAGCTCCGTTGATACTTAAACGTTTATTTATCTGTATTTTTCTACTTTGCTAGATGAACGATTTCTTGGGGAAATTCTGTCATAACTTACGACTTGTTCTTTCAATTCTTTCAACAGTACTCTTCCAATTCAGAGTAGCTCTAAATATGTGTATAACTTGATACGTAAACGTTTATTTTTCTGTATTTTTCTACTTTGCAAGATGAACGATTTCTTGGGAAAATTCTGTCTGAAAATTAAACTGCTTCAAAAAGATGACATGGTATAGGTACAACGCCCTTATTTTATCTTAAATTAGTGTCAGAGTAACGTCTGCTCATAGGAATGAGCCCTGTTGACGCTTTTAGCTTATTAAGCAACCCAAAAAAGAATTGGAGCGATTGTAGTGCGCTAATACGAAATAAATTAGTGTACTAAGGTTTTCGGGAGGAAACCACTTTGCAATGATAAAAACCTCGTTTATTACACAGTTTACTATTCAAGTCGTTGACTTTCTCTGTACGAATTCTTCATTGTCTACGTAGACCCTATTAATACCATTTCAGTCCGTGAACCTTTGCAAGAATTCTTGTCTGCATCTTCTCAATGAATTTTATGTATTTCATACAGATAGTCTTGTAAAACTCAAGTCAAACATCATCAAACATCATATATGCGAATACATGCCTTATACAAATCCCCTTCATTCTTAAATAGGGCATATTATATTTATAGTCCAATATATATGCATTAACCATTCTGTTAGTCGTTATTAATCCACGACAATAGATTTTGATGGTGTCATGTTAAACATCAGTACCACAACACTAGTAATCTCTATCATAGTTGTTTACTTGGTTTCACCTTGATGTAAACATCATAGTTGTGCTAATTTACACTTTTCAAGTATCCATATCCTAAAGTATATATTAAGATATTGTCAAAGCTATGTGATATGAATAACCTGTGTATGAACCAAGTCTTGTCATAACTTACGACTTGTTCTTTCAATTCTTTCAACATTACTCTTCCAATTCAGAGTAGCTCTAAATATGCGTATAGCATACCGATCTTCGGTGTGCGCCCTACACGCCCCTCGATAGAGTGCTGCTTGTGCAAGCATCCAGCCTCTGCCGAAACATAACAGTTGCACACAAAAGACTGCTGTTGAACACAGCTAATACTTTGTAAACAGTGATTACAAATTACATCCAAATTACATCTACATAAGCACAGTGTTACATTGCATATACAGGTTGGTACCCTCTGAGCCCATTAAACAGCAGTTGACCTGTACTGTGATTGCAAGCGATAGAGTAACTATCTACCATGTGATGATTATGTACAATCGATCTCAGTTTAGATTACAAATCCTAGAAGTCCTTTTAACTCATCGTGCATGCATAGTACTAAGTTTGGGTGACACTAACCATGTGTCAAACTGGCCAGTGTCTCAAGCAATCTTCACAACTTTGTAACTACAAGCCCCTGATTTGTCCCCCACATGGCGAAATGCATCTTACTTGCCTACACCATCATCATTCATACTTACCTTGTAGAGTAATGACTACGACAGTGGCTTTGAGAACAGTGATTTTAGTGATTCCAGTATGTCAGCGTTGCTTTCTGCGAGTCCAAGTGATGAGGATCAGTCCTTCGGTAGTCCATCTATATCTGACATGTCAACAGCTTCGCTAAATCAAAACCGCCATCATAATCGTCGTATGAGCATCCGGCATCAGAAATACATAATGCGTACGCAAGCCACCCTTGCACAACGGCCGATGTCTTATATGGGTGATCTCCAAGTTTACTACACTTAAGGTATGCGACATATGGGTTTTTTTCCTTCCTTTATATCTGTCCATGGTGACTTAACTGCTTATTTGTACATGCTGATTTCTCTTCGGTACTCTGCATTCTTGCACCATTTACATAGTAAGTTATATCCTATGTCTAAGCATACCTGTTATTTGTATAGCATTACATATAACAAATTCATATATGATCACCATCTATGACCACATCCATGTTCTCAGATGTACATTTGTTCATCTGTCTTGTGCGTAGAATCCCATC